TAGAAAACCAAATAACATCAGTGAAATGACCCGTAAGTTAGACAGCTTTAACCATCCATATCTCATGGCTAGCCCATCGTTTGGGAAGACACTGCCTCTTTCGGGAAGGTGGTTTAATGAACAAAGCTGAGAAGCGAGGGAGGATGCTCAGACCCTTACAAGATGCAGGGCCTAGGAAATGAAGCAAATCTGGGGATACCAGTAGCCCCCCCAACAGAAGCCCTGAGAGCTGACACATCTCCAAGAGAGACGATGTCAGAGACTGCAAAAGGGCAGCATGTTTTTCAGCTCCAAGGGGATGGTGGCAGGGACAGATGACACTTGCCACAGCCTGGAAAGAATGCCAAGGGCTATGATGAGGAAAAGTGTGTAATTCTACCCTTTGATCTGTATCTTTTCTATATCTGGATAATGATGTTTTTATAATGAAGAAATTGCTCAGGGAACATGCTGGACAGTTTATAGCTCCTTCCCAGAATGATAAAGTGTCAAATATGCTAGAGGTGTTGCACTAAAATGTAGAAGGAAAGAAAGGCACTTCTGGGCTAGTCCGAGTCCGAAGGGCCAACTGGCACGTTCCTGTGCCAATAGCCATCAGAGCAGAGAGCACAACTGCCATGGGAACAAACCCAGGAGAAGTACGAAGGCATGTGAGCACTGTTTGCGTTGTAACCTGAAAACATTGTAAATAGTCTCAAATTACCACTGAGAGAGCTAGAATTTTGCAATTTATTAGAGAAGACCATACTGTGTTTTGAGTGAATAGTGTAGAGGCTGAACACTGCTTGAAATATGGAACTTTGAAATTCTTGCTTATACTGATTCTGAAACTATAAATGAGGCAGAATTTTTATGATACAGCACTATAGAAATTTTAAAAATATCTTAATGTAGGCACCATACAGTTATTTGTGAATTTTATAGGCTAAATATACTGTGAACATATTAAATAGAAAATAAACACTTTTTTTTTTGTCAAATATATTGGAACTGTTCATTTTCTGATCTTGTGCTAGGGTCATGATGTACTTTGTTGCTGAAATCTGCAACTGTTCATTTAATCATTAATCTCGTCCACACATGGACAGATGTAGAAAATTATTGTGGCACTACATTCCCTTTAGTAAGCATCTGAAACGAAAACAGAAAGCCTTAAAATAAGTCTGATTAATATGTATGAGTAACTTAAGACTGCCCTATTAGATGCAAACTTGAACTCCATTAACCCTTAGTTCATTGAGGCCTGGAATTTGTATATATTGAGGTTGCAGACTTAAGATTTCCAGGGTCTTTCTATGGAAGATTTCGAGCTCTTACTTGCTAACTAGAATTACACACACATGGAGATGACTGAACTCTCCAGTGCCTAATAATTACAAATTTCTGGCCTTTCAAGTGCCAAGACTAGTATAGTGCTGTGGCTGTCATCACCCTACACGTTCACCTCACAAGTGAGGCCACCCAAAAGGATTTGAAAGACAACAATATTCCCCCAAAATGACTTGATTCTTTCAAATGTGGTTTTGTTTGTTGGTTTTTTTTTTCTGAACCAAAGTTTAACTAGCCTCAAAGTTCAATGTTTTGAATTCTTACTCCAGGCCAAGTTTGGAAGTGGGTAATTTTTATAAGGAAGGAATCGACACCCTCGATAAAAAATTCCTCATACTTGAAGATTTTACAATAAAAATTATATCCTAATGCATTTAGAACACATGTATATTTTGATTTGAATTTCAAATTATAACAAAGGGTTAAACATGAAAAGTTATGCCTTCTGCAAATGTCTTGGACAAAAAGTAAAGAGCAGGAAGAGCACTAAATAGATTGGGGGTTTTTACCTGTTTTATAGGGTCAGCTGTGGTGAAGTGTTATTACAGCTACATTAGTAGCTGTTTTGTCTTTGTGTCTCTGTGTGTGTACACACGCACACACACACACACACACACACGTGCATAAACGTATACAGTAAATGGAAACTGATTTATAAAGATAGACAAGAATTACCAGCCTAATCTGTCCATTCCCAGATAAAATCATTTCGTTAATATGACAATCCGATGATTCACAGTGCTTTGCAATCTATAAAATCGTGGATTACTTTTGGGTATTAATTAACAGCGATTTCTGTCATTGTCAGATAGAGCGGAAGGGATATTGCAATAGCAGGATCTGCGAGACCCTGGGATGCTTTGTTCTTTGTAGCTTGCCAGGGAGCTGTCATTTATCTCGACACAAAACAAGCTTGCTTTGTTTCTGTAGTGACGTTTTTGGAAAGGTTAGTGGATTATCAATAGTTACTTTAGATGTACATGCCAAAGGGAACGAAACACAGAGGAAACAGTAATAAAAAAGAGGTTTAAATTCCTTTGTGAATTTTGTTATGAATTATGAAAGGGCACAGCAGTCAAATCAAATTGATGTTTGACAATCTTGGGAGATGTGAGTTTTCCTGTGGGAAGTAATGAGGGCAGATTGTCAGAGCTTCGGCTACCGATGCAGAGACCAGAAACATCGCGCTCTCGTTGGACTTGGGTTCTTTTCTGTTCTGTAGCCTCTGTGAGTTTTATTCATAGACCTCAGGGAGGACTTGAAAGAGAGATGAGGGAAACAGTCCACTGAGGTTTAGCAGAAGAAAAGAAATCCGAATGTGCCAAGATATGGAAATGAAATAATGAACCCCGATTATCTATGTAGCGACAGTGTGCAATATCTATACTGTTACAATTAGTAATTTATTGTCCCTATGTCCTGGATTGGAAGACTTCTAAAGATTCATTACGATTTACTTTCTTCTTTGGGGATGCTCTTAGGTATTTTGAAGATTGAGCACTGTAATTTGGGAGAAGATATACTGCCTTTTTCAGATGTAGAGGTTCAATTCGTGTTTCAAGCACAAAACTAAACTCAGAATTAACTAGGAACCAAATAATCTCTTACAAATCTGTGAAATGCCTTTGCTAAGGAGCCTCGGTACTTGTCCTTTCTACTTCAATTTTTCCTTCACATTTTATGAGAAGCAGTTTCTCCATCAGTCTTGTGTTCCGCTTCCAACTCACACATCCAAATTATCCGTGGGCTGCAGCTTTCCTAGTGCCCTGGCACTCTATCCTGCAAAATGCTTTTGCACAGCAGGTCTTCTTCTAGTCTAGCTTGACGGTAGTTGAAATGGCAATATAGCTTCTAGCTATTTTTTTCTGATCTTTACTGCAATGATGTATGGATCATAATACTGAAAATGTGTTCTCTAATCACTGGGTAAGGATTAGGGACACAAAGGATGGGAACGGAATTCTTGCCACAAATCGAAGCCATATCCTAAATTGGGAAACTCACCAAGCCACCTAACACTATACTTCTTTCTGGCCCACTGTGTTGCCTGCTGTATTTTCTAGAAACATTGACATTTAGGTCATTAAAATAATAATAGAATTGCTCAGCTGACTATATCTCCAAGAGACCAAAAAGGCATGTATGCACATGCAATGCTTCAGTAAGAATAACACTAAACATTTGAAAATTAATATACCATGCAATATAAAAACAATCTCGGCAGGAACAATTACAGTTTCTTGCACACCTCTGTCCATATTGGCAGTAGCAACTACTGCTAAGTGACAGTGTCCTTTATCCGAGGCCAAACCTCATCAGTGAAATATGGACTCTAAGACTAAGAATATGCAACAGAAGGTGAGAGCAGGTCAGCTTCCTCAGCTTTAAATAAATGAAGCGTTTTCATGGCAGTAAGGATGTGGCATAGCCAGAACCGGACAGGTTCTGCCAGAACCAGGAGGCAGACAGTGGCAGCAGCAAAAGGAGGAAACACTGAGAAGAAAGGCTGGATGAACCAGAGGGCCAGGAGGGAGCAGAGGGAGGTGTCCAGGGCACCACAAAAGAGAAAGCTGAGAGTACATGACGTGGGAAGGGTTTGCAGTTACTGCATCACCCAGGTCTCTGGGGAAAAACAGAAAATGGAAAGAGACAGAAAGCCACGAGAACTGTATTGGAAAGATCCTGTCAATAACAATAAAAATTTAAAAAAAGAAACTTAACAGTAAAAGGGGCATACTGTATTCCGGCAGGTATCCAAGCATTAAGTGACAGTTATTTTCTGCAGAAAAGCAGGTGGTGTATGAAACACAATAGACTTTATTTTCCCACACTTGCTGCACGTGCTGTACAGGCAAAGCTAGTCGAGCTTTCCATGTCCAAGAGAACATTACTGTAACCTGCAGACATAATGTTTTGGGTGATTTTACATCCAGTGTTGGTGATTGTCATTGCTTTGCCATAAATAAAAAGTATTACTGGAAAGAAAACCAGAAAGTTTTGATAAATAATGTATTTTCTTTCTAAAGTGCCTGTCAATCAGACAGTGGTTAAAAACTACCTCTCTGAAGCAGTTCACCTGTTACTGAAATGCAGCCAACTATGAGAGGAAACGTGACTAATGACTGCTGCAGTGGTGGCCTGGTGCAGCATCTCGGGGCAGCCAACTGCTGGACCTGGTTGCTGCTGCTCCTGCTGGATTTTTAGACTTACCTTTTTATCTTTGTTTTTTGGATGGTCTTTTAGCATTCAATAACATCATCTTGGGCTGAGAAGCTGGAGTAAAAGTATGTTACAGGAGGCATATGTGGATGTAAAGCATATATAGATTCCTTGCTTTTAAGGTTGTTCCTGAGGTTATCTGTTTAGTTGCTGTTCAACAAAAAAAAATAAGAGACAAGAACATTGATAAATGAAGAAATTTTTACCCGAATCACAGATGCTGCTTTCTAGAGCAACCTGCTTCCCATATAATTTATGAAATCTGAGGACATCTGAAACTAGGGTGCTATGAGTTGAAATCTGCTGTATTTGCAAATCCTTAGTAGATGAGACTAAAGTGCTCCACAAATGAAGCATTAAATGGTGCTGTATTTTTAAACTTGCAGAGACTTTTGAATATTGTGAGCAGTAATTTTTGCATTCTAACTGGTTTGACTCCTTGCTCTCCCTAGGGGAAATGGAAGAGTTAGAAACCCTGTGGCTGACTGGTATTTGCCACAATGAGAAGAATGAAGTCATGAGCAGCCAGCTGGACATTGACAACATGGCAGGAGTGTTTTACATGCTTGCAGCAGCCATGGCACTCAGTTTAATAACCTTTGTCTGGGAGCACTTATTTTACTGGAAACTTAGATTCTGCTTCACTGGAGTCTGCTCCGATAGGCCAGGATTGTTGTTCTCAATCAGCAGGGTTAGTATTACTTTCATTTCCCCCCTACAGGCAACAGACAGAAAAATACGTGTCAGAGCATCAGTGTGATGCTCCAGAGTAATCGATGGGCTTAGGATGTACTTGCATTCCATGGGAAGTCTTTTCTCCATTGGATTATTCTAGGGTATGAGTTTTCATATGCCAGGATAATCAGTAATCAGATGCTGAAAACTAATACATCTAGGGGAAGTTTTAATGAAGAAATGGTAGAGCTGCTCTCTAGGAAATGGAAAATTCAGGAAATCGATTAATATCCTAAAAAAAATACAAACAGAATAAATACTAAATTGATGACAGACATTAGCTCCCAGGTTTGTGTATTCCTTAAAAAAGTGGATTTTAAGTGATAAAAATATACTGAAATATTTTTATAAGCTTTTCCTGATAGCCAACTTGAATAAACCACATGAGAAAAGGTCAAACACAAGTGTCATTTATGTTTGGTTAGACACTAAGACAAATTTTAATGGCAACTTTACAAAACTTAAAGTGGATTTACTTACCTAAATAACTGATAATTGTTGTAAAATAAGGGAAGTATGTGCTTTTTTTTATACTTTTGACAAATGAGTTGATTTTTGTCTTTTTATTTTAAACACATAGTACTTTCAATAAGTAATTGATTTTGCTGGATTTTTTTAATATGACTGGGAAGAATTGAAAATGATGCTGAAATGCCTAATTGCTTTAAAATGTGCTGAAATTACCCTGTTGAGTAAATTGGACTGTATTGGAACTACATTAAAAATAGTCTGCCCTACCCTCTTGGGGATTGTCTAGAAAAGCACATACACTTTAACCTTCACATTTTATATTTGAATGTTACACTTTTGGCCTTTTACATGTGAAATTCTCCTAACCAGTGCTGTGAAAAAGAAGTTGTATATAAGGCAACTTTGTGAGAATTACAATTTCACAGGGTCCAAAATGTCAATTGAGCTCACAGGAGTGACTGAAGAGGTTGGAGTTAAAAGATGGGCTTCAGCCTTTTGCTCAAAATGAACTCAACTTTGGGTAAATTGGCTTTAGAAAGAGCAAGGATTTTTTTCATATGTACTAGGGCAGGAAACAGAAAAACTGAAATACCATGACTAGAAGCCTTTCTATTTCAGTGGAAGTGAAGAGTACCTTAACTTCCAATAAAATAACCTGACCGCAGGCTTGTTTAGAGGGATAGTTTAATCACTGGTTTAAAATAATAGAGTTTCCATTACTGAAAATTAGTTACATTTTGTGAAGGGACTAGGGAACCTTTTGAGGTACGTTCTCATCTTACTTTCTAGAATAAGCATTGGAGGCCAACAAAGACCATTGGTTTGTAAAATACTGACAATTTTTGTCCTTTACAGTGCTGACAGATACGGCAGAAATTATTCTCCCATATAGATGTAAGGAAATGCTAAAAAAATAGATACGTACATTTAATCTTTCCAGTCATTAGATAAGCAATGTTTAATTGTTCTTTATTGTTAATAAAAAATAGAATGGAAGCATTTAGAATTTGCACCTAGTGATTTGTTTTGTATTACTCCTATTACAGGGTATTTACAGCTGCATTCATGGAGTACACATTGAAGAAAAAAAGAAGTCTCCTGACTTTACTTTGACCAATTCCCAAACCAACATGTTAAAACTACTGCGAACAGCAAAAAATATGACCAACATCAATCCTTCAAGAATTAACTCCCCCAAAAGAACAGCCGATTTTATTCAGAGAGGTTCCTTGATTATGGATATGGTCATGGATAAGGGAAACTTGATATTCTCTGATAACAGGTCCTTTCAGACAAAGGACAACTTTTTTGGTGACAACGTGAGTGAACTGCAAACACTTCCTGGCAATCGACACAAGGACAATCTTAACAACTATGTTTTCCAAGGTCAGCATCCTCTCACACTGAATGAGTCCAATCCAAACACAGTAGAGGTTGCAGTAACAACAGAAGCAAAAGTGAACTCCAGGCCCAGGCAGCTTTGGAGGAAATCTGTCGAATCTTTACGTCAAGAATCTGTACGTCAGGGCCAAGGTTCCCAGAGAGAAAATGGGTCAGATGAAAACAGGCAGCTTTCAGTGAAAAGCCAAAGATACCTTCCTGAAGAGATTGTCCATTCAGATGTATCAGAGACATCAAGCCGAGCTACTTGCCATATGGAACCTGAAAACAATAACAAGCACCACAAAACCAAGGACAATTTTAAAAAAAGGACAGTAGCATCAAAATACCCAAAAGACTGTAGTGAAGTGGAACTGACATATCTGAAAACCAAACAGAGCTCTCCACGGGATAAAATCTACACGATTGATGCTGAGAAGGAGCCAGGATTCCGCTTGGACACACCTCAGTACATCGAAAACATTGTCCTTCCAGAAACTATAGAGTTTCCTGATGTTTATCAAGATCACAATGACAACTACAGGAAAGCAGAACATGCTAACAGAACTCCCTTGCATAATGAAGACAGTCTTCCAAATAACGACCAGTATAAACTTTATGCAAAGCACTACACTTTAAAAGATAAAAATGCTTCCCTAGGCGACATGAACGATAGATACAGACAGAATTCCACCCACTGCAGGAGCTGTCTTTCCAATGTGCCCACTTATGCGGGACACTATTCAAGCAGATCTCCCTATAAATGCGATGCATGCTTGCGGATGGGGAACCTCTATGATATTGAAGAAGATCAGATGCTGCAGGATACAACGAACTTATCACTTCCCGAAGAAATATATGAGCATAGTTGGTCACAAAATAATGCTCTGCAATATCATAAAAAAAATAAGTTGAGGATTAGCCGGCAACATTCTTTTGATAATATCGCTGATAAGTCTAGGGAAATTGGTATTGGAAGACCTTCTCGTAGTATAAGCTTGAAAGAGAGAGAGAAATTTCTACAAAGTAGTCCATATGCAAGCATGTTTAGTGTTCCCTCAAGCAAACTGTTGAGCAACAAGGCCTCACTTTTAACTCGTACGCTAGAGGACAGTAAGCGGAGCAAGTCCCTGTATCCTGTTCACTCAGATGATAATCCCTTCCTGCACTCGTATCGTGATGAACAGCACTTATCTCTTAGGCGAAGTCCAGCTGACCTTTATAAACATTCATTACCAACAAGAGGAAGAAATGATAATTATTTAAGGTCATCCATAAAGTCTACATCATACTGTTCCAGGGATGGTCGGATCCATAATGACATGTACATTTCAGAGCATGTTTTGCCTTACGTTGCAAATAGGAATAGCTTGTACTCAACTCCAAGGGTTTTAAATTCCTGTAGCAATAGGCGTGCGTGTAAGAAAATGCCTAGCATTGAATCAGATGTTTAAATTTTCCATGAACACTTCATCTATAGGGGAAAAGTAGTTGCCACCATCTTAGAGGGAGAATTTATCCTTTAACAGTATCCTGCTATGGTAAATGATATGTAAACCTCTCCCTTTCCCAGTGTACTTTTGTACATGAATAGGTAAACTAGTATGCTCTTAACCATCCTTTAAAAATACGTCTTGTTGAAAAGGATAAAAAATAGCCATTTATGTATGCTTTATATATAAATGGCAAACTGTACTGAAATAGCCCCAATATATGTTGGCAACTATGCTGTTTTGTATCTAATTATTTTACTATTTCGGTTATTCTCATTTGTGTTGCTAAGTATCATTCAATGTACTTTTGTCCTTAGAAATGTTTAATGATTTTCTAGTACTGGATAAGCAATATGGTATGCATGTAGTATGACACGGAAAAAAAGAATTAGGAATGCATTTGCACAGTTACAAAAGTAAGACTCTAAAAGAGAACAGAAAGCTAGACTTTCAAAAATATATTTTATCTTCATAATAATTTTCAAAGCCAAATAATGATAAAAAACCCCAAACCCTAGGACCTTAATAAATAAAATGCAGTGTGTTAGCACAAAATTAGTATGTCCATTCTAGGCTGACAGAAAATAAATGGAAAGACTGTAGGCCCAAACATGTGAACTGCTGTGTACCAAAAGGAAGCCCCATGATATTGGTTAATGTTATTGTACAAATGCTTTTCTTATATTTCACATGCACTTACCATTACAGACTAAGTTCATTGAAAAGTCTGCAGTCATCTTGTCAAAGATTTCACAGCTGCCTAATCCAGAGTATATATTTTTAGATATCACTATATGGCACTTACTATGGAGCTGTGGACTTTATTAGTAACCTCGAGGCCTAATGTGTACGTGAGTTTGCATTTGCCCCTTACTGGTGATTACTCAGGGCTGTATAGTATTTCTTTTATTCCTTCACTCCCCAAGCCAAATCCCAACCCACTGTAGTTCTTTGTCCATAGTGTATTAGCGACATCTAATTGTATGTTAATAGTATTAAAGCTGTTAATACAGTATCAAACACCGACAGCCATACATTCAGTGTAATCAGTGAGGAGCGCAGTACCATTTATTTGCATACACAGCAGAAGATTAGCGCCTTTGGAGGGGCTTCTTCCTTCCAGAATATTGTGCATATTTGTTGAACATCACACCATTTTTTCTAACCTCTCTGATCAAGTCTGTTATATTAATTGAATATATGCACACGTAGCTAAGGAATAGTATCTTTATTATCACTTACTGTTATACAAAGATATTGACATAACAGGGATGCATTGTTATATGACTTATTTCTAGTAAAGATCAATCAGATTATTTCACAAATAAAATATTTGCTGCACACCTCTCCTTACTCCCACCGCGGGGGAAAAAAAAAACCACACTAGATTTTAACCATAAAGGAGCATGGAAGGGAAGAGAGGAAGCTTTTCATGAGTAGAGTGTACAGCTGTAAAATTAATCTAAACTAAAGGAAATATAATTGCTAATGTATTTAAATACTAAAAGCATTCAACAGGTGGTGTCACCCATTCTCCTGCTACTCTGAGAACCATGCAAGGTTTTTTGTGAAGAGGAAGTTTAGATTATTCAAGCATTGTTTCTTACATTTCACTGAAGAATAGTGAGCAGGGAAACCATTACCACTGTGAACTGGAAAATGTGACTATTACCTTAACTTTTTTCTAAACTAAAACTCTTTTCAGTAAAATCTTGCCTGTCAGCTGTAGTTGTAGTATCCGCATGCCAGAGACACAGTATGCAAGTTGTTTAGTTCGGAATAGCATACTGCAGAGCAGAGCTGCAAATGGGAGGTTATATAAATGGTGTATAGGGATAGACAAAATATAGCTTCTTGAATTTTGTTTACAATTTTTTAATTAAGCAGATTTAAGCTGACTGTAACTACCAAACAGTCCAGAATAACTTCTTGGTATTTACAAATGTATTTGTATCTTCACTGTGATGGTGAAATACAATATTTTTGAAGGAACGAAATGTCATGAGATTTGGGCTTCCAAGTCCCTTTCCAGCTTCCAAAAATCTCAGTATACTTTATTACAAGCACGTTCAGAAAGCATATCTGTGAGTATCTGTATGCTGTCCAGAGCAAATATGTTCTGAGTATTCTTTATTCAACATTTGGTCACAATTATTGACCCTGATTCACATGGTGTGCTTTCTGGTCCCTCACTGTTATGTACTTTTTATATAAACAGAAGATCCTTACCTACCCTTAGAGAGATTCACATTTCTTAAGAATAGTTGTATTAGCAGAGGTAGGGTGTTTATGGGATGAACACTACTTTTCAGGAACCAAAACCGTTTCCCAAAGACATAGGTATGCTATTTGTCTTAGGTCTACAGGAGGGCAAATGCACTAAGGGCATAAGTATTGTTGTAATGAGTTTAATAAAACTATTTCAGGAAAACTTTAGTTTCCAATCCAAATCATAATACAGTAAGTAAAATCTGAAGTATTTTGAACAACCTGGTGTGTTTCAGCAGATACAGTATTTGATGATATCACACCAAAATCTGCCATGCAAGTCACTAAGAATTTTACCAAGTGAATCGTAAAACTTAGTGGTGACTTTTGTCTTCCACGTATTCTTAAAGCTCTCAAAGTATTTGCTGATCGCTCCAAGTCTTTTGTATCATCATCTCTATCTAACTAGACACATAATTCAATATATAGACAAATACTGTACGTGAATTTGTGGGGAAGAAAAATTTCGATTTACAATATTTTCTAAGTAAACTGTTGAGATCCAAAAGTAAACATCCTAAACCCAGGTGGATTTATCCTTCTGTGAGATGTACAAGCAAATTATCTATAAAGAAATATTTTGCAGTGTTTGCTTTTTCTGATTTTGAGCAGATTTCTGGTGACTGTAGAGATTTATTATTATTAGCTGCAAATATGCAATACAACCACCTCCCCTAAACCAAAGCAAATTAAAGAGACAGAGGGAAGATTTGATAATGTTGCACAGCAGTTGTTCACATGGAAATAAAAGATTCTGCCTTAAAGGAGAAAAAAAAAACCCTAGATACTGAAAGTAGAGGGAATGGGAATCTGCATGCATTTGTTGTTTTAATCTTGGCATATAATATGAGTGGATAAAGGGGGAAGAGAAGCTAAAGTGTAGGGTTGTAGGCGAGTAGCTGGTGTGGTTGCAGATCTATATGTGTAAAGAAGAAGAAGCTGAGAAGTTGAAGAAATATCTTCAACACTAGAGCCGCAAGCCACAGCTTGTGACGCTCAGCCATAGAGCTTGTGGAATTCTGAATATTGCCTGAGCTTTGTTGATATATTTGCACTGACTTTCAATTCAACCGAGATCAAGACTTTCTGTATTTCCCTCTCTCTCACTCTAGCTGCTGCTATTCTTGAAGAGGAGAAAAGAATCTTCCTGCATAAGTGGCCATCCTTTCTGTACCTTTCTGGATGGTGCTGGTGACTTGTTACATTTTCCTGATTACAGCTCTAGCAGTTTGTTGGTCATTCCTATCACCAAGATTTCCTGTGACTCCAGCTGGAACTGAATCAGGCTGTAAATGATATGGGCCATTCGGGGTAGCATGTCCTGTAGTGTTACACTGCTCCTGGACGACAACTTTTATGGAGGCAGGATATTGAATTGCTGAGGAATGGAGTAGGTACATGGAGGTAAAACCAGCTACATAGACATATCTGCCTCTTACTTTTTTCCTCTTTTAAAGACATTGTAGAATTTCTTCATGTTTTTGTCTTTCTCTTTTCACCACAGTAAATTTTCCTTTTTCCTTTCAAATGGATTTTGTGTTCTGCTTGTGTTTTGTAGAGCAGTGTAGCCACCCACTAACTTAAACGCATGGAAATAAGATATTTAAATATATAAGATAAAATTAAGGAAAATTAAGAGTTTTGTATTTCTGGAAAATTTCATTTAATGTTTTTGTAGCTTTTGCTCAGAATTCATTATTCTGCTATCTAAGAAGCTCGGTTAGAAAGAGAGTGCTGTGGACAAACAGAAACCAAATCACCACCAGCTCACCGTGTTTTGGCAGCATCTCATAAATACATGTCTCTTTCTCTGTGATCTTTCAGGTACACTTAGGAGATGAAATAAGGCTCACAAGGGAAATCAGGAATAGATTTTTTTTTCCTAGTGAAAATAAATCATTTTAGTTTTAAAGGTAGCCAAAGCTGGAACTGTGTAGCGTTGGGTCTCTGTGCTGGAAGGCTTAGCTCTTTCTGGTGCCAGTGGAGAGAGGGGGAGAGAGAGAGAGAGAAAGCTCCCTTGGAATGGCAGCTCAGAGCACTGAAGGCTTTGAAGCAGTTGTGTGTGATGTGTCTTGAAAGATTTTAACTCTCTCTCTAGACCTTTTAGAAAATAGAGGCTCCTAACGTAAACATCTCAGTTAGGTGGGCTTAGAAAAGTAATGGCTATTTATCCCCAGCCTCAAAAATCTGCCAATTTTTAATCTGCAAGTGAGTACCAAGTGAAACCTTGCAGATGCATATAGGTTCCTGTGCTTATACAAGTAGTAACTAAGGTAGCCCCTCTCGTATGTTGGTTTTGCAGCACTCCCCTGCTCGATATCAGTGTTTTCTTTATATCATGTGACTATCTAGCATGAAATAAAAGTGACAAAATCTATTCCTTGTACAATAACTTGCTATTTTCATATTTCTGGAGTGCAGCATATGCATCTTAGTGTCTGGAAAGATTTTGGTACAATTCCTTCGCTTGCTGAGTTCATCAACGTAAACAGGAATTGAGGTATAAATCGAAGCGTCTAAGAGTCAGCTTGGATTTAGGAAACATTCAAGAGGTGCATCTTTTTGTTGTTTTACACTGCATTTAAGATGTTTGGTATACAAAACCTAGTGAGAACAGATCTTTTACGACAAAATCCTCTCTTAGTTAATGGAGATCAGTAACCATCCTGTGGCTTGGCTAGATTGTGTTAAGT